CTATTTAAAATTTTAAAATACGCATAAAATTATTAATTTAAATTAAAAAACAAGTTTAATTTGCATAGGATAGGTGCTTTTTCCATTTTAATAAATTATTGACGTGAATAAACATTTTAAATTTTAAAATGTTTGATGTTGAATGTATTAAAAACTTTTAAAATATTGATTTTATGCTTCAACCTATCCAAACTAAACTTCTTTACCAAATTAAAACTTTTGTGTATATATATTTTTTTTAATCAAATCATTTAATGTAGATAACTAAATATAGTCAGTCACTTAGATCGTTTTAATGATTATTTACAATTTAATTAGACATAAATCGTTTTGACGTAGTTATACAGATGATGAACAGAAGAATCTTTTATGGATGAAATATAAAAGAAAATAGATAATTTATAAAATATTTAAATGAATGATTGAAAATATGAATATAACAAGTAACCATAAACAAAATTAAAAATGAGTTTACTTTTCGTTTCAAAGAAAGTAACCAATATTTGTWAGTATCTTTTGGAATATAATAGCATTCCTGTAGGTAAAATATGCCATAATTGACTTATTTTATTTTATTAACATAGTGGACGGTGGTTAGGTGGCAGAGCCTATAACAGACAACTATAGAAAAATTATTAGAATGTCAACTTACGACTTGATTTCCACATAGGTTTAACGATCTCGTATTCGATCATGAAAATGACAGCACTGATGATGACTGCTGCTAGGGCTGCTTTGGGTATAAAGAAAAAGTACGGCGTCAATAAACTCAACGATAAAATAATGAGCAAACCTAAAATGTTCGATGATGTGTTGTTAATAAATGGTTTTGAAATCGTAATACATTTTATGAGCATTTTACCCGTGTACATTCCACCCATAGGAGTTCGCACGCCACTAGCATGATTCACTGCACTTCTTGAAAACGATCCCGTGACCGGCATCGAAGAAACAAACGAACCCAATAAATTACAAACACCCAAACAATAGAGTTCTTGTGTAGCATCCACTGAGTTTCCGCTGGCTATTAAAAAATTATTTTAAAATTAATACGTGCCTTATAGTCAACCTAAATTATTTTAAGAATATCTCTAAAAATTATAAAACATATAAAATTACTTCATACCAAATGCTTTGGCGATGGCGACGTTTCCAAGAACAGCGATCACTGGCACCAATATAATGGAAGATCCGAGATCCCAACACATATTAATGAAGCTAACCGATGTACCATTTATTTCCGTTCCAAACGGTGGAAATTTTAACGGCGGCAATCCAGATCTTACTTTCCCTTTAAAATATACACATGGGGGGATTAAAATCAATGTTAGTACAGAARACAATAATGCATCTATTAGTTATAGGAAACACGTTTAGGTAGTACCTATACCATGTACATTATAACTATGATTATATCATTATGATAACAAACATTAATAGTTTGAAAAGTGAAATTCAATAAAAATTATATTACAATTTCAAATGCAGGTATACTTATATAATATTCAATAATTTATCATTGCGATAAATCATCACAATTATAAATTCATCGCAATGCAAATATCCATGTTCTTGAATATGTTAATATCTAGAATGAATCAATATAAAACAATTTCCATTGTAAATTTCAAAGGTGGGCATATAGGTTAGGTTAGGTTATCGAACTTATCGAACAGTTGAAGTTAAATTAAAAAGTAAATTTTTTAAACTTTTTAATTTAAGAAGTTAATTATTTTTATTTTTGACTTATTAATTTTTTTTTCAGTTAAATTCGTATAATAGTATAATATAACTTAACCGTTTAAAATTAATTATCACTATCGTGCAGTTAAGTTAATGGTGTTTTCGTTTTATGCAGAAACAACAAACAACACAAATTCATTGACTTTTATTATTTTGGACATACATTTTATTTAACATTATTGTGTTACAATTTATTGTTTTAAACGTCTAATTAAATGTTTTTATAATTCAAATTACTATAGGAAACTTCAGGACCTAAAAATATTGTTGCTTGATAAAAAATTAATTTCTTTTTAACTGATTTAGGTTTATTTCATTTTCCATCTTAAATTTAAACTCATCAAATTAAATATTCAATAACTAAATTTTTACTTACCGATTAAAGTGACATAGGGTTCTGAATCTGGTTTATAACACCAATATGAAATTATAGAACAAGCAACCACAATTAAAGCATTTCTAGATATGGAAAGCAGCCACAGCCCTTTCATAATTGTCCTTTGTTTATTGGATGGCTTACCATTAGGTCCTAATAATTTAATGTCTTTCACTTTCTATAAATAATTAAAGTACAATTATTATTATGTTGAAAAATAGGATTAACCAAGGAATTGAACGCTAGTTATTTACCCGAAGCATGAGTAGTATGATAATAGAAGTAACTCCTAGAATTGTATCATTGGCACGATAATTACCAATATTCCGGTACACTTTCAGGAGACAATCTAAAAAGTTTGATGATTCAAATTTCAAGCCAAGAAGTCCCTTTAATTGAGATACTGCTATGATAACAGACGTGGCTGATGTAAAACCAACGGTCACCGGGATGGAAATGAAGTCAATTAATACGCCTGGATAAAAATATTAAAACGCATATTTTTAAATAAAATATAATTTCATAGATAGGTAAATATACCTAGGTAGGTAGGTAGGTAACATGTTTACAGTTTACCTATGTATATTATATTATTACTTTTTAGATTAAGATTTAAATATAATTATTTATTTAGTTTTTATGGTCAAGTATACATATTACATTGTGCAAACAAAATTACCTATTAAAAACAAAATAAACTTTAAAAAAAATTATACTATTAATACGCCTTAGAATGGATTAAATATTACTTAATTTAAAATATAGTTATAATAATAATTATTATTATTATTATTATTATTATTATTATAACTGTATTTAATAAGAAGGTGCGTGTTTTTTTTTGCAACTTTACACAGTTCTCCACACAGGTCAGCATGAATCATCCGGAAAAAAAAACGTCAGAATATGTGTTTACAATTATTCATATCACAGCATGCTAGCAACTAATTCAAATAAAAATAACTTTTACGCTTATAAAAAAAATAGATTTATTTTGATAACTAAATACTGTACGTTTGATGTTATGAAGTATTTATTATTTGTTATCGTTTAAAAGTATTATACAACACCATAACGGGATAAAAAAAATTTGATTATGCAAGTAAAATATAGTTAGTTAGGTAAGTACTATATTCATAATTTTTTCATAGGTACGTTAAGAACACAAATGTGCGTACTATGTTCGAGTTATATTCATTTGACGAAAACTAAAGAATTTTTGAGATTTTAAGGAGGTAAAGAAGGTAGTATATAGTAGTATATAAACTGTAATGTTATAATTATGTTTCTATATTGAACGTTCAAAAGCTTAAAACTCAACTTTTAATTAAAAACGCATTTACTATGATAAATTTATTTTTATGAAAACAACTGTAATATAGTACATTAGTTAGTTGTGTAGAACATTATAATTTATGTATTTACATATATTTATTTTAAATAAATAAAAACAATACAATATTAATTATCTATAATAATAATAATTGTTTCATTAACAGAAGATATGGTTTTATTCGATAGTTCGCTATTGAATTTGGTAGCTTATGCTGTAATAATTTCCGCATCATTTTATTTCTACTTAAGATATCGATATACGTTTTGGCAACGTCAAGGATGTCCTGTTCCATTAAAACCTCACATTATATATGGACATACTAAGGAGGTGACTAAAATGAAAACATGGGTAGGCGAACATTATGCTAACATATATTTCAATACCAATAAATACAAGTTTGCTGGGTTCTATCAGTTTCAAAAGCCGAAACTAATGCTTCGAGATTTAAATATTATTAAAGACGTGTTTACTAAAGAGTTTTCAACGTTTCCCAATCGCGGAATAGTATTCGATGACAAGCTAGAACCGCTTACTGGTAATTTATTAACACTGGAAGGACATAAATGGAAAGTTTTAAGAAATAAATTGACACCAGCATTTACTATTGGAAAAATAAAGAACATGATTGATCTCATAGATGGACGAGCTCAAGAAATGGTCAAGGTTCTTGAGGAATCAGCTTTAATTGGAGAACAAGTAAACTATTTATACAGTACTTACATAATTTACATTAAAATTTAACTCATAACAAAATAAATGCAGTTATTTTCAATTTGTTGTTACGACTTTAATTGTATAAGTTTTAAAATAATTTCAGGTAGAATTTAAAGAATTATTAGCTCGATTTTCAACAGACGTCATTAGTATTGTGGCGTTTGGATTCGAAACCAATTCGTTAAAAAATCCTGATGCAGAGTTTCGGAAGGTCGGTCGAATGCTATTTTCCACTAGTCTAGAAAGTATCATAAGAAATGCGCTGAATGCACTAGCTCCAAGTTTGATTGGCTTACTTAAAGTACGAAGTATCAAAAAAAAATATGCCGATTTTTTCTATAAAGTAGTAAATGATACAGTCAAATATAGGGAAGAAAACGATGTCCAACGAAATGACTTTCTAGACTTACTAATGAAAATTAAACGAGGTCAAAATTTAGCTTCTGAAGAAGACAGTAAGTCAGTATTCGACGAAAACGATGGAAAAGAAGGTACGTACATATATTTTTTAGTTTATATCTGTGGCATAATATGGAATTTACTCCTATGGATTTGAGGAACGTTTGTCTGATCGTATATTTTACGATGTGAACAAATCCTCCACAAACCCACCTTTTTCTTATCAAATTTCATAAATCACAATGTATGTAATAATTTGTACAAATAACGAATAAGTTAATAGCAATAGTAAAGTAAAGTCGATCTCTAAAGTTTTTTATTTTTTTGACAAAATTTCGATAATTATTTCTGGATTCAATTAGATATTACAAAATTAATAACATGTATGATACTTTATAATAGACCACGAGAATGGTAAACAACTGTGGTTAATATTAATGTCCTATTTTTACTAAAATATTTGATAAGTTGTTATTAACTATACAGGGTGATTGATTTATCATAAAACACTCATTATTTCAAAAAGTATTGACTTTT